CCCCCCAAATGAATGAAATCTGTTTTCAGATAAACTCTAGACAGGCCCAGGAGATACTTTCTTGGCCTTTAGTTGTTGTTTAAATATCATTCACCAAAGACTGCTGGGCTCTCCAGACTTTCAGCCGGGAGAGGCAGGTTCAAACCCCTCAGGCAAAGGGAAGAAACTCTACCTGAATCGCTTCTGTGCTGGGTGACTCCACTAAGTACTCAGTTTGTTGTCTGGTTGTGAGTAGCAGCTCTGGGGATTTCAGGTCCCTCCTCCTTAATGTTGAGAGCACTCAGCTCGTCCTAAAGGTCAGCACCTTCTAGGATCATAACCTGAAAGGTCCATGCAGATCTAGGCACATAGGCTGAGATCTCAGTGCATATTACTTCAGAATCACAGAATTACAGAAAGGTCGAAGCTGGAAGGGACCTCTGGTGGTCTTCTAGTCCAACCCTCCTGCTTAAAGCAGGGTCAATTAGAAGAGGATGCTCAAGACCTCGTCTAGACAGGTTTTTAATATCACAAAGGATGGAGAAATAGTGCTGAATCCACAACAGTGGATGTTTTTCACCATCCAAGAGGAGGGTCCAAGGTTCTCAGAGGGCACTGAGCACACAGAACTACAGTGAGGCTGCTCTGAAACACAAGTGTGTCCCTATCACACCTGATGGCAATAAAGAGAAACCAGTAATGGTGTTATAGTCTTAGAAAAGGGATTTTTCTTTCCCAGTTTAGAAGAATAAGGGCTGTTCCTACCCTCACAGTCCTTCATGCATCTTGGATCCTAGCAGGGAAGAATAAACAGAACTATGTGTCCAGCTACTCATCATTAGAAGAGATTGAGAGGGAACCCTCTTTCAGCTGCTGGCCTGGGATTGACAGCAAAGTACTTTTATTGTAAATCAGAATTAGATTCCTTTTTTATTTTGGGATGGAGCTGTACTTGCCTCCCTGTCTTTACTCAAAGCCAATAGCAAACCTATTATCAAGCCTATGGCATTGCTTTTATTCTTGCTTACCGTGAGTCCTAAAGATATGTAGAGGAGACTGAGCTCACTGACAGAGACCTGTTTGTCTAGACACGGCAATCATTAATTTTGTCAACTGGAGTTTTTAGGAAAGGCACCACTGAGTGCACTAACATTCCAACAAAAAAAACAAAATGTAGCTCATTTTCTGTCTAGGTAACCAGTCCTCAGTCAAACTTGGTGGTGCTCATTGAATTCAGTGTGGTATAAGCTGTCCTCCCTTTGTACATGAGGATATTACTTCCAAGAGGTACTAACTTGTAGCATGGTTTCTGCAAGAAAACCCATCCCTCAGTGGCTCCTGCTGCTGGAGGAGACAGAAACGGAAAGACACAGGCTTCTTCCAGGTTTTAGAGGACGTGAAGAAAACGACACTGCCTTTTTCTGTGTGATATCAATACACAAATTTACATCATAATTTGTTAGTCTTATTAAATCCCTAAATATCAGATACACTGTGTGGACTTCTTATAAGTACCCAGGACTGTGACACTCTTGATTATTTTAGATAGTTCCAAATTTATTATTACTAAAGGTCCTCACAGTCTTCCATGTATCGAGGCCTTTAACATCTCCGTAAGGTAGGAATGTGCCCAACCTCTTCAATATCTGTTTGAGGTAAGAAAAGGCAAAATTAGTTGTATGGTGATTAGGTATATTGGCTAAAGCCATCTCAAAAGTCTTTGGCATGACTACGACTTTTCTTCCTCTAACACAGACTAAAGTCATTGAGTTTTGTGGAGTACTGCTCCCCAAAGTAGTAAGGTCAACAGAGGAACTGCAATGAATTTCTAGGCTGTGGTGGTCATGTGAAGATCCAGACTTTATGAAAATGATTCTGTGGCCTCTTGTTTTCTGCAAATTTATTTCTTCTGGGGTTCAGCATGGCAGCTGGGTGTTTATTCTTATTCTTGTTTTGGTTGGGTTGCATCTTTAGTGTCTTTGGTAGAGACTTCTGAGGATCAAAGTAGGAACTGCTTGACAGATCAGTTCTGTTCTTTACGTTGTCATCCACATAAATTAGCAGAATGGGTGGAAAGACAGACTGGGAGAATGAACTCGAGCACTGCAAGTCTTCTCCACAGCAGTATGGGACAAACCTTTGTGCAACCTGTAGGTGAGGGATGCCCTCTAGTGCCTAGAGTAGATGAAGGGAAAGGTCAATTTTCAGCTCTAAAAGGGAAATTACTACATTTTAGCTAATACAATAAAGGTTCTCTCATTAAATACTAGCATTGCCAAAGCTAAACCTTAGTGCTGGCTCAAAGGAGTCAAAAGCCTCCCCAGTAGGAGTAAGAAAGTATGTGAGAAGACCCTTCTGTTTGGTCAGGTTACTTATAAGACAGAGACATAGGACAAATGTCATTGCAGATGCAGGTAAAAGCAATGCATGAGTAATTTTAAAACCATCGGGTTTTTTTACAAAAACAAAACCCAAAACAAAACAGAAAAAACACTTACAAAAAAGCTGGAATTTGTTTTCCTGTCAAACCTAATTGAGGCACTAAATTTTCTAGACACAAATTGATGGCATTCATCATTTGGGGAACAAAATTCTTGAGAAAAATAGGTCAGCGGTTACTTTTTTCACCCTGCTATCAACTGTCACACTTCTCCCCCACCAGCCTTTGTTTAAATATCCTTCCACTTGTTCCTCCTCCCTTCTCACCCTATAAATAGAAAAAAACTTTCCTTCCACCTCCCGCCTGTCCCTCCTCCCCCTGGGTAGCGTTTCTGCTGGGTAGAGCATCCGGAGGAGGCAAAGCCGAGGAGAGAGTGGGAGGTTTAGATGCCGAGAGTCCCTCCCCTGGGACGCAGCTTCTGCCTTCACTCTGCATAGGAGCATCTCTCACTCTTGCTAGACCCAGGAGACACTCACGCTGCTCCTTGCACCTGCCCACAAAAACCTGTCAAGGTACACGGCTGGTCTCTCCACTGAGGCTTTCCAGAGCTGTCTCTGACAATTCAGCTTCAACAACTGTCCTTTTCCATCATGCAAAGCTCTCTGGTCAATTGTCAAATTATATAGGAAAGGCAGCGCTGCCTATAGCTGCAAAGCCATGTGCTGGATTTAAAGGGAAAGAGTCAGCGATTCCCAGCACCCATTCTTTGTCTCTGCAGGAGGAAAGAGGTGGAGATATTGCAAACGGGAAAATTTTATTTTAGATTGAAACAAGGCAACTGGCCGTAAAAGCCAGGGATTTTAGGGGCGGTTTCTGCTTTTAGTGTGATTCCTCACTGATTTAAATAATAACTGGGCAGAAGAAGGCAAATCTAAGGTAAAAGAAAAGAGGTCAGTTCACCCACGTTTCCAACATTTCCACATTATCTCCTGAAATAAATGTTTGTCCAAATGATGATGTAGAAAAAGAAAGAACATCTTTTATGACATTTTGTACAAACTACTTTCCCCCACCAAGCAAACATTTCTTACTGAACAGTAATAGAAGGCACCTCTATCCACTGGGATTAACAACAAATAATACGTATAGAATCCACTTCTAAATATGGAATCATCATGCTGTTCAGGCTCAAAATGACATCTTTGCTCAGCAATGAGATATGAGACAACACTGCAGAGTGTTCTCATGTCCAGATTTGTATTTTTATTTGTAATGTGATGTTGTAATTTAGAACACCTACCCCCTGCATAGTTCTAATGTGCATTCATAGAGTACATCAGCGTTCAGTTCAAACTCCCTGGGAGTAGTGCATGTATTTTACTAGTACCTGAATCTAGTTAGGTCAGATAAACACACAACAAAGTATTTGCTTGTGGGAACAAAAGGTATTTTTTCTGGTAAGAACTCCAGTGATAGAAGAGATAATAAATTCTGAAAAGGTGGAGTGTGAGGTCTGGAATAGAGGTCAGTTCACATGCTTCCTTATACCTCCTGCTGCCCCCGGCACAGGGCTGCTCCTTCCATGGAAGTTCTCACCTTCCTTGGCTTGTTCAGGTCTGTGCAGAGCAGATCCAGTCTTGCTGGGGATGGGATTCATCTCCTCATCTCTACCATGTCCTCTCTCACATCTCACTGCAGTCAAGAGGGACTTCTGGGTGATTAACAATTTAATTAAATTAATAATTAAACATTTGATTAGGTTGCTCAGAAAAGCTATGAAATCTCCATGGTTGGAAATATTTGAGACTGAGCTTGAAAAGTCCATGATTAACTTAATCTAAGGCCATGCTTTCAACCGAAGGTGATCTGAGTTCCCTTCTAACCTGGACTTTTCTATAATTCCTCTGATCTCCTTTTTTCTCCTACTTTAGCATGGGATGATACATGCTTCAAGTGCCAGCTTGTTTCCGAGGCCTTGAAAGTATTAGGTCAGATGTCAATATTGACATCTAATCAGAGGGATTCCACTTCACATGTTCTCAAAGGGGAGTGTTACAGGTCCTGCATCCCTCCTACCTGTTCACCTGGAGCATCAGCCTGGTCTCCAAAGAGCCAGGGTCCAATGCTGCCTCTCATGACGGCAATCAAACACACAACTCAGAAAAAGAGAAATAAAATAAAAACCCCCACAACAACCTAACCCCAAATCTATTTTGGAGCACATCTCTCAGTCACTCATGCAGATGTGCTTCAACATACATTTCTGGTACCTGACGTATTTCTACCTTCTACGACGAGATGAGAGCAAGTGTCATTTGGAAGTGCCTATGTTTCACCAGGGAAAGACTAACTTAGGCACAGATGTTCACACTCTGGCCATCTGGTTTTGATCAGATAAATCCCACACCAAGGTTGTCAGAGTCACAGCATACAGAATAGAGTGTTCAGTAAACCCTAAAATAAAATTCTGGATTCTCTAAGCTAGCACAGAGTGGAAGGTTCTTCCAGAGGCATTTGGCACCCAGCATGGCTTTGGGTTATGGTGTTCAGCCTCTGCAGTGAGGTAGGGAGGTGCCCAGTGCCTGCCTCTGTCACAGACTTCTCACAAAGCCTAGTCAAGTCACACACTCCCTTTGATTTCCCCACCTACAAAGGCAATAATTATGTTCTTCATTGTCATCCTTTTTTGTTTTGTCTGGTCAATTTTGATGGCAATCTTTTTGGAAACAGGATTGTTTCTTGTGCTTTACTTCGGATTCTGCTCATCTTTAGTGTGGGGCACTTGTACTGCGCTTGCTGGCTTAACCCCTGAGCAAAGATGCTGAAATGTATGTTATCATCACAGTTATCTCCTGGGGTAGAAGGCTATTCTTCCTTTAGAGATAGAGAAGTGAACACCAAAGGCTGAATCTCAGCTCTTCAGACTGATGTACTCTGACCCTCCACTAATTTCCATGCTTTAAATATCAGTGACGAACTGGACTTACAAAACGTGAGCAGCTGCCCTGTGCTTACTGGTGGCAGAGGAGGGAGGTAAACCCAAGTGTCTTGACTAGTATTTTCTCATGAAAGCAATAACCTCCCTATCTCCTGGCTGGCACCATCTGATGACTAAGCATGAACAGGCCAAATGGGCTGAAATCTGTAACTAAGATTGGTAATGAATGTCTACAAAAGTGATTTGGTTTTGTAGGTTGGTTGTTTTTCTATTTGTTGGTTGGTTGGTGGTTTTTTGGGGTTTTGGGGTTTTTTTTTGAGTGGAAGAAATTATGTAAGCATAATAATAATAATAATAATAATAATAATAATAACACCAAAAACTGACTGACCCATTTTGTTTGCCCACAGGGGAAGCATTACATTTGGCCAGAGATTTCGGCTACACCTGTGAAACAGAGTTCCCTGCCAAGGCGGTAGGAGAGCACATTGCCAGACAGCACATGGAACAGAAAGAGCAGACAGCAAGGAAAAAGATGATCCTGGCGACAAAGTAAGAAGGGAGGGGAGCTAAAAAAGAAATCTGTCTGTCACTTCTCCATTTTGGATCTGGGGGCTGGGGGAGGGAGGAGTGGGAGTATGGAACTGGGATTGCGGTGACTGCTATCACAACAGTACTCACTGACAGCAAGTGAGAGTAATCCTCTTTAGAGATGCTGTGAGAGGAACCTTATTTACTGCAGTGAGGTTTTAGTGGCTATGCTCTCGCTGTCTGCAGTTAAGGAGTCACACTTCTCAGATGCTTTGGTTTAGATGAGAGGAGGGGACATTATTACATGGTAAGATCTATAGGACAAAGACTGGCTTTGTCTCCCATTTACATGTTAACAGGAGATCTAAGCTTCTACTGAAGTACTGGTTACTGTGGGATAATTATTGTCAGTCTGCTGAGAGAGAGCTGGTTTGCAGAGGGATAGATCCTCTCTGGATGGAAATTGCAAGAGTTCCCCTGAAGTCAAAGGCACTGGAACAATGTACACCAGCAGGAGAGCTTTGCTAAAGCCATTAAAGACACACAGAGACACCTGACTTTGCTCTAAACAACCACTCACCTCCCTGGAGCAGTAACATCATGTTAGGGTAACACTTCATCTAGGTTAATTAGCCTTGATGAGGGAGGAATTAGCCTTCCTGAGCCTCGGGAAACAGGAATAAATAGTCTGCATGGAACAACACAGACCTACACTGTATGTGTGGCATGCCTGCATGGGGTAGCCTTGAACATATTCATACTCTTCCTGCACTCGCTGCAGTGATACACAATGAGGCTGCAGGGAAGCTGAGGCCAAAACCCCAAGGTCTCAGACCACTGTGCCAGTGCTGGAAATGTTTGGAAACCACCCAGGGTGGGGTATATCCAACAGAGAGGAACCACCCTGTAGTAGGAGAGAAGGCTGACCAGCAACACAATTGTTATTTGTATCCCAGTGTCCTTCTGCTTTGTCTGGTTTTGGGGAACAGGATCCCTGGCCTTAGTGTCCCTCTTGTATCCGGAGCTCTTTGCCCTGAAGGTGACCCAGAGGTGACATGCACTGAAACATCTCAGGCTTGTGAATCCCATGAATATAGCCCGTGGTCCTTCCCTGGGGTGATAAGCAGAGCACCCTGTGGCTCAGGGGGCATTTGCTGGTTGTGAAGATGATAAGAGACCTCACACATCATTCTCTTAAGTCCCTTGTAGATTAAAAGGAATAATGTGAGTGGAACATGATCTTATTTTTACCTATATCCACACTTGTTTTAAGGGCCCAAGGGGTTTCAGAGACATAAGAATACACCAGCTGGCAACTTCCCTCTGCAAGTTGTGTCTCCCCATTGCTATTAACCATCTGCCCCCAACTGTGTAAGAGCTGATTGTACTGCTGGGCAGCACAACCTAAATGAGTTAAGACTGCAAGTTGCCCCAGCTGGACGATTTGCTCCATCTATAAAATGTTACTCAATCATAATGATACAAATCTTCCCCCTTCTTTTCTGGCGCTAGTGAGAGGTCATTTTACAATCAGTTGTAATAATCTGTGAGTAATATCCTACCTCCAAAGGCTGTCCCACTGAGTGACACACAAGAGTCTCACTACCCTTTCTCACCACTTACTTGCTCACTTTACTACTGAGATGGGGAGTTGTGGGCATGTATTACTCCTAACCCCCACGAACTTTGGGCTTGTTGGCTGTTATCTTGCTCTTGTAAGGAACAAAATTATTTTTTTCTCTCTTCCATCAGTTAAAAGCACCAGCAAATTGATCAGAGAGATCTGTCAATAATACAAAGATAGGTCATATCCTAGCGCAATCAGTGCTTGTAAGAGGGACAGATGGGTCAATATGCGTGCTACTACTGCCCTCTCCTGCCTGGAAGGAAAACAGTGATTCACGGACCAGTCCTGCCCAGGTGCTACAGGAGACACAAGCCCATGGCACTGTAATATCAGCATGGTGTTCCCCAGCCATGCTTCCATCTGTCTGATAGTAGGTACTCTAGTAATTTTTCAGTAGTTTCAATTATTCACTAGGCATATATAAGCTCTAGGTTTGTAATTTCAATAATCTCACAACTGCCCTGCCTCTTGCACTTGTGAGTTATGAAGCTATGACACCAGAAAAAAAAGTGGTGGCTTGTTATGCTTCCACCAAAACCAACACTGAAACTCCAGGATGGTAAAATCAGTCAAGCCTATGGAAAGAACTGGAGTGCCGTTGCCTGCGTGTTGCCACCACCCACCCTGGGACAGAAGCCCATAGAAATGTGTCTTTGACAGAACTGATGAGATCTTACGCATGTGGGGTCTTGAGGGAAAATAAAGGGGAAAAAATTATTTCCACATTCCTAACATATGGGTGAAATTCCATTCTGGTTTCAGACATCCAAGTTCAGTGGCTTGATTCAGTTGCCCAGACATAGGCACCTACTGCCATTTGACATGAACAGAGTTATCCAGCTTGGTTACCAGCTGCTGCTCCAGAAGCACACAGGTCTCTTTGTTACTGTGTGGTATCTGCCGGTTATCATGGATGTCTTATGTACTACATACCTATGCGAGGGTGACTAAACAGAGCCCTTAATGTCTACAATGCAGAAGTCTCCAATGTCCGGTAGGAGCTGCCAGTGTTATCAAGGGCATCTATACCTCGTAATCCAGCAAGTCACTCACCCTGAATGGAAGCAGTTCAGATGTCATACACAGAACTGTGGGCCATGGGCTAGTGAAGGTTAAAGACTGGTTATTTAGATACCAATAGCCCTCTTCTAATACATAGTGGTCTCTGAGCTTAAGGTAACGCTATTGTCACTGCCCTGCTTAGCCTTACCTGGTCTGAGGCTATATTGATAGCAATATAGTGAATGAAATCAGGACTATTTTCTATCGTGGAATAAACCCTATTCATTGTGTTAAACTACATGACCTTTGAAAATTACCTCTTGGAAATGGTTTGTCATGTTTGCTAACTCAGGATCTGCCTAAGACAGTAGTAGTTGATGCAATGAGATCGTGCCATGGCCTGTTCTAACAATTTGATTGTCTAGATAATAAAGAATTAGAGTCTTACCTGGCAATTATCATGGGAAGAAGAGATGATCGGGCTGTGTAGCAGTATACAGTGCTGAACACAAGTGACAGCAAGGGCAGGGTGGGAGTGAAGCAAGCTTTGGTTAAGAGCTGAAAAGATAAGAAAGCAGTAAACAGTGAGAGAAGCCGGTCTCCTATGATACTCTTTCTCTGCACTCACCTCCTTTGACTGAGGAGATGATTGTCTGGGCACTCCAGAGTAAGATGCTTCAAAAAAACCCCCTGAATTATCATCGCTCTGGCCAAAGGATGCTGACACTGGGCTGTTAACCCTAGACTCTTTACTATGCACTCCACATAGAAATAAAAAAAAAAAGAAGAAAAAAAATGCTGGGACTTGGTTTTAGTAGGTCTTTAATCATGGGTCAGTTCTCCTTGAAGAGGTGTGGGAGACCCTGAATGGCTTTATAACAGGGGACAGAACACATCAGGTTGCGGCTAGGACAGATGCAGAACTGCTGAAGGCCACATCAATAATTCCACTTGATGGAGAAGCACCCTGTTCTACAGGAAACATCACAGAGTATCGCAGCACAAGGCCTTCCACATGAGAGGGGGGGGGACACAGCTGCACACACATTTACAAGGACAACAACAGAATAATGTGAATAACAATTTTATTATGGGGTTGTTCAGAGCCAGTACAAAATAATCAACATCTGGGCCATGACACTATGTGCTCAATTTGTTCGTTTTCCATAAAGTGTCTCTGAGGCCAGACGTACAGGCACTGCTGAGCACCTCTGATATTTAGTCTTTGGGTGCCTGGCAACTCTGCCACACTTGGAATATATCCGACTCGTGGGCACACATTTGCCCCACTCTTGTACTCATCACAAGGCATTTGCTTTGGCCACTGCTGGGGATAAGATCATGGACTAAATGGGTTCTTGTTCTGATCCAGTGCAGAATTTTTTTACCTTTTTCTGATCATATACCAGAACATTTGACCCTCTATCAAAAATCATTAAGTGCCTCCCTTGCAGAAGTGACCAGGACTTTTTTTATTCATCTGTGACCCTTGAGATAGCTTAACCATCTTTGCTTTTTCAAAGCCACAGTCCAACTCAGCAAATAACTGTCAGCATCTCTCCCTGTCACTACCCCAGGTTATGTTTTATTGGTAGTGGAGGCTCTGAGACACCACTTTGCCTAGAAATCTCCTTGAAAAAAGTAGGTTACTGTCTTTTACAGGTTTTCATGTATAATAAAAAAGTTTTTTCTTTTCTTTCAATCTGCCAACATTCAGTAAAGACTTTTGACATGTGAAGATAGAAGGGAACTTAATTGCACACTTGGTTCTGACACTTTCCTTTGTCAAAATGTAAGAACTTTTAAGATTAACTTTTTCAACAGGTAGAAAGTAGAGGTTGGAGGAAGGAGAGAAGAGCAATGCTGACAGGGCCGACTGGGGATAGTAGATTGTTTAGAAGCCAAAATGACTGACTGTTTTCAGTTGTTGAAAGAGACTGTTTTTCCTCTAAGGACCTGATTCATTAAAACTGTATGCTGCATTTACATACATTTCTGCTGAATACCTCTCTTTGCCTGAAAGGCTAAGACGATGCTGTCTTTTCAAGCAGTCAGTGTCTAGGTCCATACAGATGACAAGCATTACAGAAATCAGGCTTGGATGAAGGCCAGAAGCACAGCAGGAAGTAGTTTTCTGCATCGCCTCTCCTCTTAGTCAAGAGAGAGCTGTGATATCCAAAGTCTATGTCCACAACATGCAGAACAGTGATATAATGAAGGGTAAAACCAGGTTAGTATAGTTTCCTTGTTTGTAAGTCAGCAGTGGAGGAGCTTCTAAAGACCAAGAAACTGAGTTTACTCACTTGTTTTCCATTATGCTCCTGTCCCAAAGGGCAAGATTTACAAGGTGATAATGAAGAACTTGAACTTTATCTAGGACCAGATATGCAACGAGTCTTCCAAGAGAAATTAGGGACCACAGAGATGCTCTTTAGTGTTAGAAACTGGCCCCAGTCATAGTGATTACGTCTATGCTAACAAACTAAACCATGCACACACTCAGTCATCAGATTGCCATTGTTCATATTATTAAAATGTTAGAATGGGTCCTTGAACACTCTCAAATGTCTTCTGGGCATGTTTTGGGGGATAGCTCACACTAGGGTCTGTTCTCAGGAAGCCACCCTGTTCAAGAAGCTAGAGCATAACTATTTTCATGAGGGTATGAGTATGGCCCCTGGCACTGTACACTTTACTAGGTGGCACTGTTTACTAGGTTACATGTAGTCACTCTGACTAGTATTAAGTCAATGCTACTGAGTGTCAGGCTAGTATCAGGCAACCCAACAGAGCACCCTGATAGTCTAGTGGGCATCAAGCCCTTCTGACCCCACATTAAGTGCCTGTATTTCCAAAACAGTGAATTGGAGAAGTCCTGAGAGACAGATCCAGACACCTCTCCTTGTGTAATTAACTGTATCATAAACCAATTGAAAGTCAGTGGTGTCTCCATCCATGGTCCAGATAGTACTCTTGAGAGGACATGCAATAAATGGATCTGATTTGGTTTCATTTTTTAAAAAAGACATTTGTAGAATATTCATAGATTAATTTGCAAATTGGTCCAATACAACAATATCACAAGAATGGGAAGGCCTTATTTTCAGGTCTCTCTTAGTTAGGTCCTACATAGAGGAATCCCAGGGGATATTTTTAACCCCAAGGTGATGAGAAGCCTCAGGGAAGGCGTGAGATGGAGAGGGAAGACAGCAGGACCATTCACCCTTTCCAAAGAAGTGCTATTACGCAGGTGGAAGACTGGGCAAGATAGAGCCTGAGTTCCCTTTGCAAGGTGCTGAACTGGGTCCCAGGTCTTACCTACAGAAAGTGTGTGTGGCCCAAGAAACCATCATCAAGAAAAAGTAGAGATGATGGGATTTGTCTCACTTGCCTGTCTGTTGTGTAGGCACTGACAGCTGAGTGAGTCACTGAGCTCCTCCTACAGTCACCAGAGAGAAAGAGACTCTTTGGATGGAAGTCCTCTGGGCTGCTGTAGATATCTACTTTAAGCTGCCTGATACATGGTAGAAATATAAAACAACTTAATTAATGTTTCAAGAGGAAATTTAAATACAGCTGCTGGAATGAATTCTCACTCTGGGCAGACCTGTGGGAGAGGTCTCAGTTGAAGATCTACCAGTTCTGCTCTAGACTCTATAAGGAAGCAGAATATGGATACAGATGGAAAGTAGGAGAGCAAAACTAGCATTTTCCTTAAAAACTCCTCTCGTTTCAACTGTCTTAAGAGTTGAGGGTCAAGAAGGCAAGGCCACAATGGCCAGGACTTCTACTTACAGATAAACCAGTGCACGCAAGCAAATGCACAAGTAGTGGTGTATTCACACAAAGTTCCCAGGCGTGTTCTAATGCTGGTTCACAATTTTATTTAATCATAACTCTTGCTTCTAATGTAGGTGAGCTAAGCCAGACTTAACACTGCCAAACTGAGTCCAATTCAGTGGAGAAATCACATTTTAAAATGTCAGTGTTAATATGGTTCCAGAGGGGAATTATTCCCATTCAAGAGATTCTGTATGTTGCTGGCTCTGGGAACTTGGGACAGGGAAGCAAGAGGGGGATTAGTTTGATTTTAATTTAACAATGCCTCTGCCAAATATTTCCGTTATGAAGGAGATCACTCAGGATAAAGTGACAGTGTTATGAGAATCATCTTTATGGAAGGGATTACACATGTCTCATTTAAAGATTTCCACTTTCCTTTTAGACAAATATGTAAAGAATTCCAAGACCTTCTAAGTCAAGACAGATCACCCCTCGGATCCTCCAGGCCGACTCCAATATTAGACCTCGACATCCAGAGACATTTAACACATTTCAGGTATGATTTTGAAAGAGGAACAATTAACAGAAATTAACATTTTTGGTAAAGACTACCTATGGTGTTATAATGGTATTTGTTCCCTTACCTAGAAGACTGTAATGTCCATAATCCCTCTGTCATCTGTGCCTATTAAAAGTGCATGTTTGCCCAGCATTGTAGTTCAGGCTAGCTGCATTCACCCTGCTTCCAGGACCACAGTCTGACTTAGACTAAGTAATTTTTTACATCTACTGGCCAAATCTCCCCATCTGTCCAGAAAGTTTTCTTACTCTAGATGTAAGCCAAATCACAAGCCAGCCAACAAAGTGGATTGTCCAGAAATGTAGAAACTCAAGTTCAGAGCCAAAATGACAATGTAGATGAATCAAAGTTACAATAAAAGGAAGAACAGTCAGGCTGCATCCTTACCAATTAACTAAATAGTTCCTCTGTGCTACTGAGACCGTCTGACATCACCTTACCATAACCATACTGTTAACTCTTTGCAGCAGACTGGCTGTAAAGTACATTACCTGCTGGAACAGTCTTGCTGCACTAATTCCTGAACATGCTGAAGACTGGGAGAATGTAAGCAGGCTCAGACTAAAAAGCCAGAGATGGCTAATATATTTAGACTCAGTTTCTGGGCCTATGCCCTAGCAATATTTTACTGGTGTAGACATCCTAAGAAGCTGTTATGAAGACGAGGGCCCATGGTACATGCATGTCAAGTCCAAACTTCATCAGAATTTTATCCAAGTTATGGATAAAAGTGTATAGACGGCTTGGGATCAGAAAGATTTATTAGCCCAGGAGTTGCTGTGCAATTTCAAGTTTTTGCTTTAGGCTATCTGCTAGATATAGTCCAGAGTGAGATGGGAACTTCCAGAGGACCACTTTGAAATAGTGGGGTCATCTAAGATATTTATCAAAGATAAATGTGATGAAACATCCTAGAGGTGCTCCTGTCTTTGCTCAGACCACAGAGGGGGCTACATGACTAGCTGAGGCTGCAGATTTTTTTTTTTTCCTAGCCGTTAACTGATACCTGAAAAAATCAACATGTAAAGAACTGTTCCAGAAAGCAGTTTATAGACTGTAACACCAAATAGGTTTCTTAGGCCTGTCAAGCCTTAGAATGATGTTGCATATTCTTTAGCACAGCCAGATGAGCCGTTCTTCATTCATTGGCTGGACAGACAACTTATGTGTCCCGAGATCTTTTAGATATTAAGATTCTGATAGAGCATGAGGCACCCAGCAGCCAGCTAGTGTGATATGTTTACTCCCTCAGACTAATGTTTAGTCCCTCAGACTTTGAATGGAATCCAAAATACCCCCCATCCCACTTCTTCTCTCTATCTGTTGAGGGATGAGGAGAGGCAAAGATAATGCCTGGCTCACAGATGCACAGATTCCTCTTTATCCTTACACATATCTGTGTGCATGCTATGCATATGTGAACACACCTAGACAGCCCCACTTCTGTTCTCATGCAGTGATGTACACACACGTACACATACCATTCACATCTATGTATACTTTACCTTGTACAGACTAACTCCAAAATACCTAACTGCACTTGCACACCAAGGGAGACATATTTATACAGGATACTCATAGAGGGATTTTAAGGGGCTACCTAGGCTTGTGGAAAAATAGATAATTCCCCATTACATGCACACAAAGTAAATGTGATACAAGGTAGCTAATCCCCAAGGATTCCTGTGGTTAAAAAAAAAAAAAAAAAAAAAAAAAAAAAAAAAAAAAAAAAAAAAAAAAAAAAAGGATTAGAAGCCAGGATAAAATGCTGAAGGTTTCAGTTACAAAACTGTCAACTAGTTCCCATCCTTCTTTCTCTGCTGCACTTCAGTAAGTTGGAGTACAAAGCTTCTGTAGGCAGCTCCTGGATCATTCAATACTTTTTTCATGGCTGCTGTAGGCAATAAGTGTTGGACTGAAGATGGGCACCTAGAAAACCATAGGTCTTGATCCTACACACACGCTTCCCTGGGATTAAATCAGCCACCCTTCTCTGATTGTGCTTGGGGAACGATGAGTAGTGCCAGACCCAGAAGCTGAGCTGAGACCACATTCATTTTCCATCTGTTGTAGAGAAGTTGAGGTCAGACTGAGCTTCTGACCCAGACTTCTAACTCTGCTCATCTACATGTGGGTGCCCCTATTTCAGCCAGGTTCTATCTTCTGCTGTAGTCTCCAGGGGTCTCGTCTGTATAGCCTGTGAAATCTGCAATACAGTTAAGCAGGCCTAACATCGACACCTACATTAGTGTACGTGAATTTCTCTCTAAACTCCATTGACTGAACAGTCTGATCTAGATCTCCAGCTGAATGGGAGTTTACCCAACCACTACACACTAGACACTTTCATTGTAAATCCAGTGTAGGCAAAGAAATCGTTATTCCCATCCCCTAAATCTGCAGCCTTCGCAGCTAGGTCATCTGAACCCCTCCTACCACTACTCTTTCTTGAGATTAAGTATCACAGAAGGCACTTTAGTCCATCTCAGAGAAGATGTCAGAATGTAATTCATCATGTTTTCCAGGAGCATTAACTACTTTCTGAGTCAAGTTTTCAACACAGACTGCTTCTGACCCATCACTTGCTTTCTCTGTCTTTCTCTGAGGGATGAGCCTCAGATTGAAAAAACCTCTGTCACAGAAAGTTTACACCTCATCAGTTGGGGATGAGAAAAGAGGAAGAAATTCTTGGTACCCCAACACACAGGGAAAGTCCTGTAACCCAGGAGCTACACGCTCACTGCTGTCTGAGGCATAGCACAGCCTTCTAGTGGTCAGAAGCACAAATAGCTTCTTGTCATTATACACTGGTTGGGAATTATTTCAGGAAAACATGTTGAAAACATCTGTCTAAGATAAAACGCATGCCTAACATTAAGAATTTAAATATTCAAAGTGCAGTGTCTCCACATCACTGACCACAGGTCCCACCTAAAATCAGATTTCCAAAAGAGCAGGTTGTCCTTATTTATTACAGTGAATTGAACACAATTATCGTGTATCTATACCTATCAATAAAGAGCTTTGCAACTGTAGGCCGGAGATGGATCTGACCTTCATACCAAAGTCATTATCAAACTCTCTGATGACATCTACAATAGTCAGACTCTAAAATTGCACTGTCTTAATAAGTGCCTGGTACTGACTATACGCATTAAATTAATGTTATTTATGACCAAAATGACCAAGAGCTGTTGGTGCTCTACAAATAGGTCTTGCAGAGGAGACATAAATCTGAAGGAATTGCTCCATATAGTCATCACGAATTTTATAACATGCTTTTTCAATAGTGAAAATGTAATCTTCATTTCTATCTGTATTTCAGAACTGTGGGCTTTCTCACAATAAATTCTCTGTCTCTATGCGGTATAAATCTCTAGATGTAGATGGAGCCAAAATATTACGTTTGGCAACGACAAACCATAGGCTTTCACTGGTATCTCTGACAAGGTTTTTTGAACATTTTTAGCATAGATATAACATGTTTTTCAACGATTATCCAATATGAGCTGATTTTTCATCGTGGAAAATGTCTTAGTTTCATACAGATTTAATATAACAAGAGGTTCAGAAATTCTGCCTTGTAAACCATAACCAATGCAGCAAAGAAATCACAAGATGGAAGGTTGGTATTTGATAGATAGATTAGATAGATAGATAGATAGATAGATAGATAGATAGATAGATAGATAGATAGAGATAGATAGATAGAGATAGATAGATAGATAGATAGATAGATAGATAGATAGATAGATAGATAGGCAGGCTTATGCCATATGATGTCAGAAAGTCAAAGAGATTTTTTTTGTGACCAGAAAAATTCGGAGGAATAGCACAAATCTCTCCTATTAGAATAAATTCTAAGATAATGAAAGACTTTTTTAAGAGTTATAGTATCTGATAACTACAGCAGAATCCAGACTCCACTACCTTGGGGTAAAAAGGAGTTTTCTTCAGGAAAAAAATTACCCTACAGCTGATGTGTAGTTATGTGCTCCATTTGCTCATGATGTTACTTGCTTAATGTTAATAATTAAGATTAGGGTTCACAGACCGACACAGGTCAGCCTGAAACAGTGGTGTTTCCATTTCGTCTGTTTTAAATCTTCAAGCTCACACTTCTCTCTGAAGTTTTTCCACTGAGTCCCAATTCATCAAGATCTGTAAACATGTGTCCAACCTGAAGTACAGGATAGTCCCCACGAAGGGATCAGAATTGCTGGGTTTGCTCAAAGTGCAAACTCGAAATTCATACAAAGCATAAAACAGGAAATCTTCAAAGGAGCTGCAGTGAGCCTGAAAACTGCTGAGTTTTGCACAACTTTACCAGATACGCAAAAAACAGAGGCTTTTCTGCACCTCTGGTACAGTCATGTTTGTGCAGCTGCTCTCTGAGACGGCCGTCTGATATGAATACGGAAAACTCAGTGCTGCATGATGATTTCCCAATATTATTTGACCACAGACAATTCTGTAGACCCTAACACTCATAACAACTGTCGTGCACTGCCTGAGCCAGGGTAGTATGTATGCTTCATTCAAGATTTCTCCCTTTTTAATACAATCACCTTACTACAGAGAAGTTATATTGGTATTAGTAAATAATAGGACACAGAC